AGCGGAGGGAATGACCCCCTCCCCCATCTATGTACACACAGCAGTATTGCAGCGCGAGGGGGGGGTCACTGACCGGGGGGTCCAAGTTCTGCAGAGCCGGAAGGCCACGCCCACTCATCTAGGCCAGCGCGGTCCAACCTCCACCTCCTGGGACACTCACAATAAAGTGAAGCATCCTGGGAGTGGGAGGGGCTATAATGTCCTGACGAAGCCCCGTAGTATGGGAGGGGCGAAACGCGTCGACAGATAGATGGTGATCAGACGAAAAGACATCATCTTGTAGACGGATCTCCAACCTCAAACCTTTCACTTTTGGAAAAAAGAACCCCGAAGATATTTGAAATAAAACCTACGGCTGCCTGTCTAAGGGCCGGTTCATTCCCTCCTTGATATCGAGGAGAACCTCGGAGTGTCATTGGACAACAATCGTATTCCAACTCTGATTTCGGAGACGAATTTTCCAAACCGATATAAAGAAATGGGACATACACCCACATAATTGGACCACTGGATCGAACTGAAAAATATCTGAATTATCTGGACCTGGAGAAACTCCAATAACGTGAGTGATTGAACTATGTTACATCTGTCCGTTAGGAACACTGCTTGAACTTTGCAAGATAATTCTTACATCACTTTGGAGATAAAGGAAAGTGATCCGGTGTTCAAGTGAATTGTAGTCCATTACAGCGACAGTCCGTCCCTAAATGATCACCCATCTCTCCTGTTCTCCTTAACCAGTTGACATCCGCGGTGTTACACCCCCTTCCTGTGGCGGCCATTTTTCAGTGTTCAGCGCTGCGCTACTTTGACTGACATTTATTCCGTCATGCAGCGCTGTACTGAAATGAATTTTATACCCTTTTTTGGGGACAGATAGAGCTTTCTTCTGGTGGTATTTATTCACCACTGGGGGTTTTATTTTTACTATATTAAGGAAAAATTACCGAAATTTAAAAAAAAACACAGTTTCCCCTATATTAAATGATAAAACATTTATTATTACCCAATTTTTTGGTAAAATATAAAAGACGGGGTCACGTCGGGTAAAAAGACACTAAACATGTCAAGCCTTAAAATTGCGTGCGCGCGCGAAACCTCAAAAAACGATAATACCCAAAATTGGCCCTAGGCGACGCTTTAAAAGCTGTTACCGCTCATCAGTTTAGTGTTATCAGTGATTGATGGCCCTAAAATGATTGCTCTCACTGCGACGTTCGCGGCGAAACATATAGGCGATTGGCGGGCTATGGAGCCGCCGATCGGCTATATGTGAAACACCCGGTAACGGGTGTGTGCAACGGTCGGGTCTTTTCTGCCCGTGCGTGCCCGCAGAAAAAAATTGCGGGTTGACGGCAACCCGCAGATGCAGCAGTGCCGTCCGTCCGTTTTTTTTACTACGGGCGGACGGCAAGAGGTTAAACAAAGGAACAGTTACACGTTTGATTATTCCTACACGGTCACAGTTCATTATTTATAAACAAAAGGAATCAATGATTCATGCGGCCAATGTGCCGGTGACACTAATATCGAATACAAAGGAATTTTCAAGTTTAAAAAGGATCTTTAAGGAAAAGAATCTGTGATCAAATGAAAGAAAGCAAACTCTGTAAACTGAGAACGAGACTTCTTCACTGGCAAACAATATGTTAACATAATCTACATGAGGCTACAATGTCTCACTGGAAGTGAATGACGACTGATCTGAGCAGCCTCCTATTTCTCTATATTCTACAACGTTTACAGGTGCATATCCAGGGTTGTTCTGCAGGGAGCCCCTATGCAAGACGACAGGCATCGGAGGGTTTCTAGGATCATTATGTATGTCTGTAACCTAAGAGTTTTTAATGGTGAGAGGTGTTTTGAAGGTGTTGTCTTTTATGTATGTTGTTTCAATGAATTCTTCTAATAAATTTAATTTTTGCATATTAGCTGCTTGTCCGGATCCCTCAGTTGACCGCTACTGACTCGTTACCTTCTAACGAGTTAACCCCCCTTCTTTTTTGCTATAATGGGGGGCCGGCTTTCCGTTTGATCCTCCTGTAGGTGGCAGTATAACCCTCTGAATTCCTGTGTCCCTCAATGGATGAGGGCCGAGGTTTCCTCCGCCGTCATCCGAACGTCCAATCTCTGTGGCACCAACATATGCCGGAGCGCAGAACCCGGGGAGGTCCTCACAGCAGACAGGCACAGAGTATTCCCAGCACTGATTTGGGGGAGGGGCCAGCAATCCGGG